CTATTGAATCCAAAAAGGGGCATGGAAGTAGATCCAGTAGAGATATGTCATTCAATTTGAACTTCAGTTTTCATCAGTCAGCATTTTGGTGAGTGAAACTTGAAACTTAACTTACAAACTACACTGTAGCTGTACTGTCAAGTTGCTTCATTCTATTTACTTACTCCTCTTGCCAGACATGTCCTCACACCTGTTCCTCACCACGACATCCCTTTAATTCAAAATTTATGTGACTTAAGTTCTCTTTCCATCAGGTGAGATTTTCAGGTGGCAATGGAGATGCATGATCTTCATTAATATTTCAATTCCTCGACTACATATTTACTTCAATTATTTAATATTCTCAGAAACTATTGTATAAGGCAAATGACTTTTGATGAGGGAACAAATACAGGCAAATGGAGTACTTCTAAAAATGGAGCTAAATTTGTAATAAAGAGAAAAGAAATAGAAGCAGAGGAAAAATATTATTTCATGGAATTCATGGTACTCAAATTAAGTTCTGCTCAGCAGCTTGCTCAAAATTAACTTTAAGAATGTTCCTATGGCAAGCTGTAGAACTTGGAAAAATTTTTGATTTTATAAGAAGTTTAGAGCCATGCATGATGTTCTAATGCTTTTGGGGGTTTGTCCCTAATGTACTTTGTATGGTTATAGCTTGTTTCTCTTAAGATACAGACTTTTTCATGAACTAATATTGGACTGTGAAATTAGAGATTCTTTGAATAAGGAAGGTACAACCACTGAGAAATTCTTAATAACCTCAAGTTTTGTGAATCAGCATGTAAACAGAGTTGACATTCTCTAATCTGAGAATATATATCATTTTAAGTGTATTGAGACTGTCATTAATTAAACACTTCTTCACTGAAAAAAAAGATTAATTCAAAATTCTCAATATTACACACAATTTGTCAATCTTATACTCTACAAGACATGTCACACAGAACAATGTATTTTTGAGGGAGCAATTTCGTGTCATCACAGCTTTAAATATAACTCACAGAGACGCCCTGCTATCAACAGTGTTTCCAGTGGCCCTCTTCTATCTTCCTGAGACTTAAATCACTCTGAGAAAGCAAATCCCCATCGTGGCATGCCATTACAACACCGGGTGATAACAAAACTGCTCCAGTAGAAAAAGCTCAAAGTTTAAACTATTTTTGGTCTGATTATTTCCCACTCCATTGTCAAATGGGAGCTAAAATAACTAACTAATTCCAGGAGAAGGACTGCATCATTTTAGGTCAAATTAGACCAGAGCATTCATGTTCCATATTAAAAGTTAAAAGAAAGGGATATTTAGTTTTTCTCAGAGTGTTTTAAGCAATTTCTGCTCTCCCCTCACACAATATATATATTTTTTGATGAGAGGTCTTTGAAGCCTCTATTTTTGTTATAAGCAGATTGGTAGCCTGCATGCATTTTTGCCTTTTGTCTCCTCCCTCAGCTGGTTTAGATGAATGGTGTACTGGGACTAGGTATGGTCTGTAGGTATCACAGCGTGTGTGGGACCATGCAATTTTAAATAGCTAAAATATTCAGTAAGAAATAGGAGATGAGGAAAAGTGTTTTTTCAAAGTATATTTAATTAAAAGCTACTCAATTCTTAATGTCTGGTTTTGAGTTTGACATAAGTATTACTTCTTCCATCTTATACTCTTGCCATATTCAAGAATATTTCTCATGGCTGGTAGCTGGTTGATAACTCCAGCTATTATTCATGTATGGGGCAAGGTACAAGGACAGTGACATGTTTTCATGGGCACAGCAAGGGACTTTCAAAAAGGACAGTGCTAATGATGAGGTGGTGAGCTAGTGTGTGAGGAAAATACTTTTCAAGCCTTTACTATCTTAAGCATGCATGTTTCTAGATATTTTCAAATATAGATAAAGGAACATTGAAAATTTCTTTAAATTTTCCAAGTTTAAGGATAAAAAAATGCTTTCAACTCTTATACCGTCCATTTCTTGTGCTTCTTAAATCCAAAGCTGTAGTTGTATTGGCTTGGATGGTTGTGTTCTTAGATACATGGACAGTGATAATTCTCTGTTAAAAACCTTTGGCCTGGATGGAATATCAGGAACCTATGTGTTTCACATTCTTAACACTTTATTCTCAGACCAGTAAATAAGGCTCATAATATCTTTTCTCCTAGCTACAGAAACCCTGGTCATAGAAATGTTTTATGATACATACTTTACAAAATAATTACATAAAAGTATGATAAATTGTTAGTACATTCCACCCAAATATAATTTAATCTCTTTAAAATTAACTGTGACAGAACATTCAATAAGATAGAAAAGACTACCAAATTTGAAGTCAACATTAAGAAAAATGACTAATTTGCGCAGTTGTACTTTGCTGGTATTTTAAAAGCCAGAGGATCTAAGAATACACACATTTGCTTATCTCAGGAAGACATAATCACACTGTCATCCATTTTTGAACCACAAAAGATGGATAGTATAACATGTGTTTAAAATGGATTCATTCATTATTGAAATAGATAAGTGTTTCATCAGGTATATACAGCAGATAGCATTTATCTTTCCTCATAGAGGGAAAAGATTAAAGTAATTCTTCTGCACATATTGGGAAGAATACAGCTTGCTGTATTGCAGCTTTCATAATGTGACACTGGGTAATGCACATTGCCACAGAGAGTGAAGTTTTACAAACACATGATCAGCTGGAGCGACCGAACTGAAGAGGCAAGAAAACCATTCATTTTGAACATAAGCACTACATGTTATTTTTCATGTCTCTCATGAGCACAAATTCACCAGAGTCACCAAAATTTTAGATATTTTAGTTTGCCTTATGTATGTTTTAGAAACTCCTTCATGTACCAGACACTGCGGATTGTCAGGGACAGTCAGGGAGTAGGTGTGGTAGCTCTGATGGCCATGGTAGGGAGCGATTGGAGGGCATGAATCACAAACAGGGCTGTCTTCCACACCTTACCAATGCTTTCTCTGTATGGGGCTATGACTCTCATGTTCCCGAGCATTTAACTGTGGTTATTGAGATCATTATTTCATTTTTCTTTGGAAAATACTTGTGTTTTTTTCTTATATTCATGCTTTTAAAGGTACCTTGAAGGAAAACGATGAACATATATTAATAATAATGCAAATTATATGAAGAATAATAAATATGCATAGTCAGAAATAATGAATTTTAGGAAAAATAAACCTCCAAATAAAATAGAAGTCTAATCTGGATTTTATTTAACACAAAGACATTCATAGTATTTATAATTCCATGCCTTCTTTCTCACAGGAGTTGATGGGTAAACCTGCCTCTTAATTGCTTCATAGTTTATTTACACTGTTGAGGTGCACTCAGATCACATGACACCACATTTTCCCCACCCCCTTTTAAATGCTGTTACTTTGGAATTGAGAATACTTTATAATGCTTACTACTAATTGAAAACCAAGCATTTGCATACAGGAATTCCATTTAGGTCCTTTGAATTTTGGTTTTCATAATACATTACAAAACATTTCTTAAGATTGTGCCATGTGCTAACAGTGAAAGATCCTATTATACTGATGTTCACAGGCATGCCCCCGTGACACTAAAAGACGTGATTTTCTTTGCCTATTAGTTTGTAAATACCCGATAGGTGATGCATTTTTGTGCTTGTTGCATTGATCTCATGGTTAAATTTATAGTTAGCAACTCTCTGTAATCAAGCAAGTTCTTTTAAGCTTAATATATATTGTGATATTTATCATGTCAAAGATTTTACATTATAACTCCTTGATTAGGTTATATTCTCCTCCCATATTCAATTCTCCAAGTAATGTATTGTTTCTTATGGTAGATACACATGAAATAACTCACTTGCTAGCAAAGTACTTAAGTGCACTTTGCCATCCTGAGTGAAACAAATGTGCATGAAAATTAAAAGAAAAATACCAGAAGTCAAAACAGTGAGAGTCCTGTGTTTGATTTTAACTGCACTCTACTGGTGGCATTCAAATTTGGCCTTTTGAAGAATTGTCAGTTCATTTGAGGATTTAAATAAACATTGCTAAGGGGCTCTAGGAAAACTTAACTGGCAAGAATGCTCAGAGCAGGAATCAGGACAAATCTCACTCTTTGGAGAACACCTTCTTTTCTACAAAGATTGTGCTGGCATTGCCTACTCCTAAAGATCCTTAAGGCATTTAGCTGTAAAAAAATTTAAATAAATGAAATGAAAAACAAAAAGAATGCTAATAGTTTGCTTATTCTTATAAGGTCGAGAAAATGTTTTTTAAGAAGTGTATATTAAAGTTATAGGATTTTAGGTATATAGCTTTTATTCAAAATTTCATCACAATTATTCAATAATACAATTTTTGAACTGTTCTGGCAATACCAGATATATTTGAGTCAATTCAACACCCCTTATTTAAACTGAAATTTTTCATGACTTCCCATGTGTAATAGCTTTGTCCATTGCTGAATTTAAGTTTAACTGAAAATGTCAAAAGCTAATTTTGTGCAAATATTTTTCATGTCAGATCATTTAACCACAACCTTTATGCTAAACAACAAATACAAAATATAAAGCTTAAATTCAGATTATCGATTAATCTTTCTAAAATACTGATTACATATAATTTCTCCCAAGCATAACATTAAGTAAAATTATTTTATCATTGCGTACTTAACAAAACACTTATCACAGATTCTGTAGCTAATACACATACAGCTGTGAAGATTTATGAGACGTGGAGTTATTTTCTTGATTAAAATGCATGTTTTACCCAAGCAAGTATATGCTTTCACTCTAAAAGCATAAACAGCACACGAGCACTAACTGTTAGCTGAGCTTGCAGCAGGATTGAGTGACAGCAGTTTCTGTGCATCTTTCTCCGAATCTCGTTTCTCATGCCTCACTCCAGATCAGCACTGACACATTCCCCTATGCAAATGAACATCTAATTAGAGACACCTCCCAGTCACTCAGTCACTTTCTTATCACCAGTTGTATTACCTGGCAAGCCCTTTCTCTGGAGTCTTGGCCCACCAAGAACCTTCATTCACTTTCTCTTCTCCTCTGCGAAGTGAACTGATCCAGCATAATCCCTGGAATAATGTAGTTTCTCTTGCCGAAGAGCAGCTTCCCTCTCCCCATTTTACATGAAGCTAATGGAGCCAGTAGGTATCCTATTGATCTTTTCTCTCTATGGTTTCCACAGGATTTGACGGACTTCCTTACAGGTTAAACATCCAGGCTTTCTGAAGTGGCTATAAAGCTTTGTTTTTGATTTTTCTAACTTTTTTTTTTTGAAACCCTTGCTCATCTGTAATCTTTAAAAGCTCAGTGGATGCCATGCAGAGCAAAGCCTCATTTCTTTGCAGAAATAATCTAGACACTGTCTAGTGTTGAGTACAGTTGTCTGATTCAAATCTTCTGTTACAAAGCAGATGCCATCTAGCTAGATGTCATGAGAAGAGCCTAACAATGACAATTCACTTATCCCTTAGAAAGAATCAATTCTCCCACAATGCATCTGTCAGAGAACTCTCACTCAGTAAAAGCAATTTTTCTCGCTGTCTGACACTGTAATTGCTCTTAAATTTTCAATGAACGTTTTACAAGGACTTCCCTGAACCATGATGAAAAACTTAACTTTTTTCTAAAAATGAGAGGCTGACAGGATGAAAGAGGTCTTTCTCTTTAAAGCCTTGCTTGCTTGAGTAGGAATTCTTTCATATCATCAACAAGCTGTTGAATAGAGGATAGATTACTTTCCATTTATTTCATCAATCAGATTAAAGGCTCTCCTTCACAATGCCCTTTAAACAAGAGCTGTTTATGATGTCCTCCCAGGTTTGACTTTAATGTAGTTTTAAATCACCATGAACAGTGGCATCAGTAAATAATATAAATATGACGACTATCGGACAACATTTAAGTATTGCATGTATTTTGGTTATTATCTTTATTCTTGCCCTTAAAGAGAGGTGAGGAACAGAAGAAAAACAGCTATAGATTTTCTGCTGTTTAGGTTGAACAACAACAACAACAACAACAACAAATCAACACAATTTCCCTTTACAGACCAGTAGACAGAAATACCCAGCATGACAGCATTTTCCCCAATTTAGACCAAGGATGTTGAGAAAAAGTAAAAAAGAAGCAAGTAGGTATTTTTCATTACTATGCACACCTACCATAATTTAAAAAAGAAGCCTGCAATGATACATTTAGTTAAATTTGGATGCTGAGACTATAGCTACTTTAAATAAATTCCTATTTTTAAGACATTTCTAAAAATAAAACACAGCAAAGGTTGTTCATTCATCTTATTACTAATACAATGAATAGTCTTTTCATCACTGGAGGTGTGTATGTCAAATAGCTTAGCATGGTTTTTTTAATATGTATGTGTTTGAATGTGTGTCTATAAGTAAATAACTGAAAAGTTAGATACACTCAGCATCCTTGGGTGAACAAGAGAACTCAAACTCACCTGCACTCAATCTATTTAAGATGCATGGCTATATCACAACTATTTTAAATCTGGTATAATTTAAACTTCGAGCTCTATAAAAATGAGAGAGACATTTTACTCAAGCTATAGAATCATTTTTTAAGTATTAAACTGTGGGTAGGAATTCTGTTACCCCGCATCCTGTCTCCTTCTCTGTTCATCAGAACCTGGACTATGGCCATGCTGCTTTCCATCTTCATCTGGAGTCTCTTCAGGGATCAATCTTATTCTGCTCCTAGACAGCATGCATGTTTTCACACAATTCTAGTTGATAGCTACGTTTTGGATGATCCCACATCTTCATTCTGTGACACATAAGCCACTATTTTGCAAACTAATATACATGTCTCTCATCTATATCTTCTTCTCTCTTTAAAGCTACTCATAAGCATGTGTGTATTTATTTATCATATCAATTTAGTGGGAACAAATTGCCTATATATGGGAAACACGAACACCCACACAATATCTATTCTTTGATGTTTCAGTGGCATACAAACCACACACAGAGAAGAAAAATGCGGCTGAGAAATATTATGAAATCCTGTCACATGTGTAGTAAATGGAGAGTATAGAATGCAAGCCCATATCTGTAGACGAATTTCTAAACAGTCTTATTAAATAAGAAACACAGAGCCAAATACAGGGTTAATAGCCGAAAAGATCAGAGCAAATAGCCATGACTAGCCTTAGCTTACCATCAGCAGTAGTTTCAACAGAGAGAGTTTCCTGTCTAAACTGAGCTTTTATTGCTTTCCGTTCTGCTTTCTCATTGGCTCCAAGCCCAGCCACATTAGTTCCTCGTCACTACCTGTCTATAGGGACCTCCAGGTCTCTATGGTTGGTACTAGGATTAAAGGCTCAAGTCACCAAGCTTGGCTGTGTCCTTGACCACACAGAGACTCTGATTGCCATGTGATCAGATTAAGGGCGTGGGCTACCACCGCCTGAATTCTCTTTATGGCTCACTGAGCTCTGATCTCCAGGCAAACTTTATTTATTAACATACAAATAAAATATCACATTTCAGCACAAATAAAGTATCACCACACATATCTGTAATTGGCATGGGCTACCATGTGTACATGAATCCACACTATTGGCAGACCATTGTATACTACCATTTGTTTTCTATTTACTTTCTAAATTTATTTTTCTCTAAATTGTTAAACCATAAATATTGGACAAATAATATAGATAAATTGGTTATGCTGTGCCCCTGTCAAGAACTGTGGTGGTCATTAGTATGAGATGTAAGGATATGTGGACAGACTTTATGTTTGTCCTTATTTAAAAATACCATGCACTGTCTTTTCTTTCTTCTTCCCCCTTTCCCATCCTTCTTTCATTTCTCTTTATGAACACACTAATACATTTTATAATTTGTCTTCTTTTCATAAACACATGGCATATTATTGCATCTAATTCATTGATAAAATGGGTGCAGTATGCAAGTTTGAATATTGTACCCTTCAATCAATAATTCACTTAGAGATTTGCTTCTACCCTGCATCAGCCAGTTACTTGGCAACAAATCCTTCTAGATAGATCAGTTATCAAGTCAATGTTATTTCAGTGTTCAACAGGAATGTCATGAAAGTCTTAATTAAATGCCTGTGTTTCAGATGCTTTGTTGAGAGTGTTATCCCATCCATGCCTCTTAGATCTAAACCAGAAATATCACTGTTTTGATACAATTCGAAAATATGTTTTTAAATTATTCCTGAACAATGTCATCACACCATACCTCCCAGAAAAGTGACTCTCCTTATGGCAGTTTTCATTATTTCAAAAGGGAAATGGCAGGGGTTTGGAATGCAGCTGAGTGATCCAGTGCTTGTCTATCAAGTGCAAGATCTTGGTTATGCCTAACACAACAAAAACTAATCAAACAAACAAAACCACATTTCTCTTCTTATGATTTATCTCCTTTAAGACATAACTTGTACAGACATGAACGATTAGTTCTTGATAGCCTTTGGTTTATCATGTGACTTGCACTGTTCACACATGCCTTTTAAAGAGATTCTGATTTCAACCCAGAGACCATGGAGGCTGTATACCGCGGGATCATTTCCATCTATGGAGCAAGAATTCTCTAAATAAATATTCTTTCATTTATGACACTATCTCTCCATTGAGTATCTCAACTTGTAGACTTCTATGCTAATATTGTTGTTCTGGTTTTTTTTTTGTTGTTGTTGTTTTCTTTTTCTTTTTTCCCCTGACTACACAGGCTTCTTGGAGAAGAGAGTGATATTTTATTAACTTTCTTTCAATCCATCGTCAACCTATTCTGATTTTTATTGCTTCATATTTCATTAAGAAAATTGAACTTTCAGATGGAATCTCCTAAGTTAATGTACTTCTTTGTCTTAGATTTGCTCTGGTAACTTCAGCTGTTACCATCCTACCTCTGTGTTCTTAGTGTCCCTAATTATTTTTTCTTCTATATGTATAAAATCCTACTTATTAGTTTGCTCTTAGCAAGTGCACATGATTTATTTGCTATCTGTAAATTATGTAAACATCATAGGACACACTGTCCACTCCTTATAAACAAGTCAATCTTGTTTTCTATGTGAATGGTCCAGATTCTTGCACCAGAGCCGTCTCAGCACCATTACATTTCTTCGCTCCCTGTCAGCACTCAATCTCCTAGCATCCGGTTTCAAATCTTTCCTCTAAATTTTGTTTGCAAAGGTTATGAAAGCAGTTGAGGTTGTAAGTGTTACCTACTTACACCAAGACACTTTTGAGAGATGGTAGAAACTTTTGACTGGTGGAGTCTAGTTTTTTGCTCATTCAGAAATGATATTAAAAGAGAATGTTAGACTCTGTGGAGAAAACAGTTTCTTCTTCCATGCTTTCCTGCTGCTGTTGACCAAAGATCAGACTAAAACAATGGTGCCAACAGTCATAGATTGAAACTGTCAGCATTGTGAGATAAAATAAACCTTTTTTTTCATGACTTCATAATTTCAGATATTTGTTACAGCAGCAGAGAGCTGAGTAGATCAGTTATTAATGAGATTCTCATATATATGTCTTTATCTTTTACTAGCTTGGGGGATTTTTCTTTGCTATTCAATGTTATAGCCATATATGTCAGAATCTGAAACATTTGTGCTATAGTCATGTATCATCAAGTTCAATGTTTTCTACTTGCCCTTGATAGTTGAGATTTTCTAAAACATGTATGTCTACATTTTCAAGTGCCATATTCTCTCCTAGGTACATTCATTCAAATCCAAGGCTTTAAAATATGATGATAGTATTTTAAAATCTTTTTGATTAGGATTCATTTTGACACCTGGATGCAAATATCTGCCATTACATATGTCTAATTTCACTGGTTTAGCTACCTGAATGATGAGGCAGATATGTTTTTTGCACTTAGCCCTCTGTTCCTATTTTTCTTGAGTTTCAACCCAGAGAAGAAGCATGACTGACATGTTATAGCAATACTGGAAAACCCAAATCAAGGGCTTACATTCATGGGAGGAGCCATAGGTTTCACAAGTTTTCCACACCTGCCAGCCCTACATCCTATACCTTCATCTTGCTAAGGGAGCTCTGTGAGTGATTTGTGTGAGTGTCCTTCCACACTGCCCTTTCTACTAGGCTCTAGGATACAGTTTCTTTGCATTTCCCTAACAACTGTGTTCTTCACGTACTTCATGTCTTTTACTTCATCCATTTCATTTTATTGAAAACAAAATATTTCTATCATTGTAACTCACACCATCTCAGATACCATGACCTTTGTTTGATAGCATTGCATTCCTCAACAGTGTGTTTAGCCTTGCATTTTCAAAGCTCATATTGGAAATAATTTTCCCAGTAATATTGAGTATTAGAATATTTCCTTATTTAGACATTTTCTTCTGAACCCACTTCTTCTGTCTCATGCTCTGAGTTGTCTCTATCAAATTCAATGATTACCTCAAATACAGAAGTTG